TCACCCAAATAAGGGCTAATCTGGGGGGCTCAGGATGGATCAGCCCAATCTACAACGTAAAACCAACCTTCCAAATAGATCAATGTACAAAGAAACCAATTTGACTTTCTCCTAAGATTCTAATCATAGATCACACAAAGATCTCAAGAACCCTGTACAAGAATCAACCCTAAACTCGACAAGAACAAACACTGCTAAACCAGTGCACCACGGTCAAAAACAATAGACCGAAACCTTTCTTTCAAGTCTATAACACAAGGGTTATACAATCCTTCAACTTCTCTAAAAGTACAATAGTAGAAGCACTATAGTAGAAGGAAGAATTTCAAAGAGAGAGAGAGCTGCTTCGAAAAAGGCCCAACAGAATGAATATCTCTTGCCTCGAAAACGGGTAGAACAAAGGTCATAAAAACCATATGAAGTCAAGATTAGATCCTTGCCACACATTAAGATCCAATGGCCTACATTCCATTTTAAGTAGCACAACCTAGGTGACTAAGAACCAACCAATCACCAATAGCCACATGGACCATCCACCTAAAAAAGTGGTATTTAAGTGAAACACGTCTTTACACTTTCAATCTTCACCTTGGTTCACTAAATACACCGACACTCTTAGTTGCATGGTTTACATAGTAAGACTGATCATCATCATTGTCCGGGTACCAGCAAAAGAATTATCATTATCAATATACGGAATTGATAAACCAAAGTTAAACTTACTAGTTGAAATCATTTCAAGTTTCATATCAAATGGACATTCATCAACATGAATTTTCTCAAGATTAACTTCACCTTAAGCTATCTTATCTTCTAAAAATGATACTTCACCTTGACATATGTTTACCTCTCATAATGGACAAGATTTGTAATAACCAACAATGCAACTTGACTAACAATGAGAGTAATAAAAGTATCATGCAGAAAATTCAAATCACACAAAATGCTTTTCAACCAAATCCATTCTTTCACAGATTTCAAATTTGAGCAGTCATTCCCCAATGTAAAGTAATAGGCAATAATGGATTTACTGTGATCTTTGTCACTCACAAAGTCAACATCCACACATCCTTTAAGGATCAACCTATCAACCCTTCTCAATTTACAAACAAGGTCACTCTTCACCTCAAAGCCTAAGAATTGACTCGTATGGATATTTTCTTCCAATTCCCAATTTAGGAAAGCAGTTTTAACATCTAGTGGTTCACATTCCCAAATGAATTGAGCAACTAATGCTAAAATCAATCTAATTATTGTTTTATATTCAATGACAGGAGAAAATATCTCAATATAGTCAAACCCCTCTTTTAGTGTGGAAATCCACTTACATTGTACCATTCTTTGACCATTAGGCAAATTAACCAAACTGCAATTCTTAATTTGCTTTATTTCTCTATCCCTAACCAATTTGCAATCTTGGATAGAGTTCTCTTCAATTATCGAGGTGTTAGTATCCGTTTCATTTTCACCATGAGGCACATCAACTTCATCACTTACAGGTTAATTCTCATTAAAGTGAGTGAAGTCATATTTTGCCAACTTCACCTCAATCTGAAATTTCTCGTGTGATTCAATTTCCTCATAATCATCGTGTTGGGAATTTAAACAAGGCATTTCACATTCATTAAACACAACGTCACTGCTGTTAATGATCTTAATACCAGGTTCCCCTAAAACCCACAACCTCTAACCTCTAACCCCCTTAGGATAGCCTAGCATAACACATCTAATATCCCTAGGCACCAACTTGCCCTCAGTTTGGTGTGCATATGCCACACACCCAAACAGTCTAATATGTGCTAAATTTGGTGGCTTCCCTGTCCATAGTTCTTGAGGAGTCTTAAACTCAACACAACTAGATGGAGATCTATTCATCAAATATGCTGCTGTACATAATGCCTCAGCTCAAAACCTCTTATCAAGTCCTGAACTAACTAACATGCACCTAGCCTTATTCATCAAAGTCTTATTCATTCTTTCCGCCACCCCATCTTGTTGAGGTGCATACTTAACCGTCCTTTGTCTCATGATTCCCTTTTGCTTACAAAAATTATCAAATTCCGCGTTACAAAACTCTAGACTATTATCCGTTCTCAGAGTTTTTAACTTATCCAATTGATTTTCCACAATTTTAAGCCAAGTCCAGAATTTATGAAAAGCCTCAGATTTAGCCTTTAAGGGGTAAACCCATACTTTAGAGTAATCATCTACTAAGGACAAAAAGGACTTATTTCCACCAAAGCTGGGATGTTCTTCAGGCCCCCACAAATCTGCATGGACATAAT